AATTTCAGAAAATGCTTCTAACCTCACCAGACGTTGGAAAAGAGTAAATAAATCGAAGATTCTTAGCTCTATTACCTCTCCTCCACAAGCAAGCCTTAAGATATCGCTAACACTTCTCCTGAAATTAGCAAAACTACTCAGACCTCCAAAAGACTGAAGGGTAAAGAAAAATCCCATGAATGGAACTACGGTTCCAACTCTCAAATTTCGGTGGTGGCTGAAACTCAGCCCCACCAATCGCCATGAAGCTGTTAAGTTCGAATGCACAAGGGCTTGGGAACCCTCGTGGCATTCGTGCTCTTTCTGACATTATCAGAAAGGAAGATCCCGATATTTTGTTCTTGCAAGAGACAAAACTGAATACAACAAAAATGGAAATATGTTTAATAAAATTGAAGTTCTACGGCTGTTTTAATGTGCAGGTAGTGGGGCGCAGAGGAAGAATTGCAATCCTTTGGAAACATGATGTTCAATTAACTATCCTCAATTACTCAAAAAGCCACATTGATGCACAAATCGACTCACCCCTTCATACCTGATTTTTAACAGGTATCTATGGCTGCCCCGATACCAGTAAACATATGGAAACCTGGAAACTATTGTGGAATATGAAGAGAGACCCTTTAGAATCTTGGCTTGTCTTTGGCGACTTCAATGAAATTTTATCTAATGACGAAAAATGGGATGGCCGGGACAGACCTCGACAACAACTAGAAAGTTTCCAGCAAATGCTCTTTGATTGTGAACTAAAAGATCTTGGCTTTAAAGGACCCCGTTATACTTGGTACAATGGAAGACAAGACACTACATAGATTTTTGAAAGGCTTGACCGTTTCACTGTCAATGCCTCCTGGTGTCAATTGTTCCTGGAAGCTACAGCTACCCATGGCTCCACTGCATATTCAGATTACCTGCCCCTCTAGATCGAGCTTCATGGTACTCACCAAACTCTCAAAACACCTAAACCATTTCGATTCAAGTCAATGTGGATTAGCGAAAAGGCATGCACTAATATTATATTGAATCAATGGTTCGACTCTTGCCCTCACGACCTAAATAATATTATGCGAAATATTAAACTTTGCAGCAATCAGCTCAAGTCTTGGAATATATCTAAATTTGGCAAAGTGCAAGTGAAACTCAACAACACCAAGCTTGAGCAGATTCAAAAGCAAGATCATACAACTATAAACTCAAATGATCTTCGGCAGGCCACTGAGGAAGTACAAACTTGGATGGATGGAGAATAACTTATGTGGAAACAAAGATCTAGAGCTACTTGGCTTGAAGAAGGTGACCAGAACACTCGATTTTTCCATGCAAAAGCTTCGCAAAGAAGAAGGAAGAATACAATTAATAAACTCTTGGATGAGCAGGCAATTGGCAAGAGGGAGAGGCGTGCAACCACATGATAATAAACTATTTTTCTGATCTGTTCACCTCCACAGGCTCAAGGAATCAAGCAGCCAATCTGGAGAACATAAATTGTAAAGTAACACGTGGAATGAATGAGGAACTGATTCAACCTTTTATAGCAAACGAAGTCTTCCAAGCCTTGAAAGAGATGCATCCTACTAAAGCCCTAGGTCCTGATGGTATGCCTCCTATTTTTTATCAAAAGTGTTGGCTTTATATTGGTTCCTCTATCATAAATGTTGTATTACATGCTTTAAATACCAATGAGTTTCCCTAAAATGTAAACCACACTTTTATTACACTTGTCCTAAAGATAAAAAATCCTCAGAAAGTAAAGGATTGTAGACCAGTTAGTCTTTGTAATGTCCTGTACAAATTGTTTCAAAAGTTGTGGCTAATAGGATAAAAGAAATACTACCTGTGGTGATTTCAGAAACACAGTCAGCCTTCATTAAAGGGCGTCTGATTACAGACAATGTGCTTGTGGCCTATGAAGTACTCCATTTCCTATGAAGAAAGAAGAAGGGTAAGAAATGTTACATGTCTCTGAAGCTTGAATGAGTAAAGCATATGACAGAGTTAAATGGTCTTTTCTTGAGGCGGTTATGTATAAATTTCGCTTCCATGAAAAAATTATCAAACTGGTGATGACATGTGTTACTACTCCTTCTTTCTCGATACTCATCAATGGCGCTCCCATAGGTCGCATTATCCCCTCAAGGGGGTGGAGACAAGGGGATCCAATATCGCGCTATCTATTCCTCTTATGTATTGAATGATTGATAAATCTATTGAATACAGGGGAAATAAATAAATTACTGAATGGTATTCAAGTGTGTAGAAGAGCTCCAAGCTTGAATCATTTTTCTTTGTAGACGACAGCCTGATTTTCTGTGAAGCAAATGTGGAAACTACTACTCGACTACAAGCTCTCCTTAGTAGCTATGAAGATGCATCAGGTCAACAGTTGAATAGAGATAAAACCTCTATGGTCTTTAGTGCAAATGTAAAGCCAGATAAGAAGTAAGAAATTATGGCTCTTTGGAATGCTCCTGAAATACAGCAATATGAAAAGCATTTGGGATTACCACCTATGATCGGTGGATCAAAAACCGAGCTTTCTCTGGAATAAAACACAAGGCTTGGTTGAAATTACAAAGTTGGAAGAGTGGTATGTTCTCCCAGGGGGAAGAGAAATCCTCCTCAAATCAGTGGCTTTAGCAATCCCCTCATATGCTATGAGTTGCTTCAAACTTCTCTCTATATTATGCACTGAAATTGAAAGGATGATGAGTAGATTTTGGTGGGGCCAAAGAAAGGAGGAACGAAAAATCCATTGGCAATCCTGGAATACCATGTGTACATCAAAATCCATGGAGGGTATGGGCTTCAAGGAGCTGGGAATCTTCAACATAGCTATGCTTGGAAAACAGGCTTGGAGGCTATTGCAACACACAGATAGCTTAGTTCACAAAATATTCTCAGCCTGTTACTTCCCTGAAGGTAACATTCTTAAAGCATCTATTGGTAGTAATCCCTCATATGCTTGGCATGGAATCTGGGAGGCTAAAAATCTACTGATACAAGGGGAAAGATGGGTTGTTGGTGATAGTCACACTATATACATTATAAATGATAACTGGATCTCAGGAGTGAAAAATCTAAGCAGGGACTTGGGAAATGATTTACTGCATCACAATCGACAACTTGAAAGTCCAGTGGCTTCATTGATTGATCCGAACTTGAAATGGTGGAACCTAACTAAGCTTAGGGCTATATTCAATCCAAAAATTGTGGAGGCAATACTAAAATTACATCCAAGCCCTTCGGGAGAAAAAGATTTCTGGTTATGGGAACATGAAAAAATTGGACTTTATTCTGTTAGCAGTGTATATAGATTCTTCAAGAATTGTCAAACTTCGGACCGTGGCAACTCTTCAAACACAACTGAGAAAAGGAAATTTTGGGATACTATATGGCATCTAAAGATACGCCAAAAAGTAAAAAATTTTGCTTGGAGAGCTTGTAAAGAAAGCTTGCCCTCTAAACAAAATCTGATTCGAAGAGGAATCCCTATTGCCACTCAATATTGTTTTTGCGACTACCAGGTAGAAGACCTATGCCATGTTCTACTTAATTGCCCTTCTACTTGCCATCTCCTAACCAGACAGTTCCCAGCACTACAGAATGAGGATCACCTGGGAGATTTCATGCAAGTAGCTATGGATATAATGGCAAAAGACTCAAAGGATGCTCTCACGGAATTTATACTCATCACTTGGGGTTTTTGGTTCCACCGAAACAAAATGGTCCATGACCAGCTAAACCTTCCACCACAACAAGTAATTGCTACCCCTCAACAGTACACTTGGATCGCTTCTCCACAAATATAGGTGGTCCGCACCACCCAAGAAAGCATTGAAACTCAATATTGATGCCGCACTATTCTTTGACTCAAATAAGTCTGGGATCGGAATCATTTTACGGGACCACGTGGGATAAACAATTATGGCTGCTAGTGGTCCTGCAAACACAATCCTGGAACCAGAACACATTGAAGCTGATGCACTTGTGAGAGGTCTACAACTGTGTCTTAACCTTGGAATATCTCACTTATCGGTGGAAAGTGATTGTTTGTTCCTTGTCAATGAAATCAATAAGCCAAGCTCGTCCTCAGCATCAATCTGTTCTCAAGTTACTGAATAAAGGAATTAATGTAGAGATTTCCTCAAAGTAACCTTCAGCACTGCAACAGACTGAATAACCAAGCAGCACATTCCCTGACGCGACACGCATGTAATTTTCATTGATAAACACTATTGAACCCTTTCTTAAGGCTTATTAGAAAGAAGCCGGAGGGGGGGTAGGGGTTTTAAAAGAATTTCCTCAAGGTCGTTTCATGCCTAAACATTTACCTTGCCGACAAAAGGCTGGCATTAAAGATTTGAAATGGTCATTTTATTCTTTACTATTGCTCTTTTAATTTCCACAACCATAATATTTATTTTTCACTTCAATCCCTCAGCATACCAAAATTATCAAACGAGACCCAACTCAAAAGCTTTAGCTTCCAATGGTCATTCTTATCACTAAATAATTTTAATTCATCACTTTTACATATAAAAATACATTCACTATTTGCAATTTAGCTCCTAAACTTTACATTTATTGCTTTTATTTCCTTTGTAAACTGAAAATGCTCTAATAGATCTAAAAGCTGCTTAAACTTGGGCATAGACCATGTATCTCATTATATGAAATTTTGAAATATTTGAGAGCAATTTTTTTTATTCACTCCATGAAATTGTTAACTTAGTGAGTTTGGTCGGGCTAAACATGTTTTTATGACCTTATGATTATTTTTTTTTTAAATGAAGAAAAATATTTTTATCAATTTTGAAGTATAATAAAGGATCTTACAAATAATAATAATAATAATAATAATAATAATAATAATAATAATAATAATAATAATAATAATAATAATAATAATAAAGGAGGAGTTGTAAAATAATTTCCTCAAGGGTCATTTCATGGAAAGGAGTTATGTGCCTAAACTTGACCATACCGACAAAGGGCTGGAATTAAAGTAGGAATGCTTCGAGAAATTATGAGGCCTATAATTGCTTGAACTATCAGTGCTTCCTTGATGTGTTGACGTTTCATTTCTTTGCTTAAGCATTTTTTCTAGAGATCAGAGATGGCTTTTGCTGCTGTTCTTTCACTTGAGATCATTCTTCGTCAGAACCTCTATGAACGTAGATTTTCCATTCCTTTTGATCAACGCCAAGAAATTTTCTCTATGCTAAAAAAGGTCGAAAAAGTACTACAAGTCCTTCAATATTCCCAATATAGCAGCGAAGAATTGAAATCGTTGGAAATAAAAATCAGGGACGCTGCTTATCGTGCTGAAGATGTCATTGAATCCTGGCAAACGGGCTTGCAGAAAAGAGTCAGAAAAGTTGATTCCAAGATAGAAGAGGAAGAGGTAAATATGACGGACTTGGAGAAAGTAGTAACAGAAATACATATCCTCATGGAAGAGATGGTGAAGATTCAAGACGGGAGTGGCGACCAAAATCTTCAGCCATGGATATTTTTCCCATCAAGACGAGCTCCTATTGGCCAGAATACTATGGTGGGATTTCGTGATGACTTGATACAGATAAGAGATCGACTCTGCAATGATCAACACCCGAAACTCCAAATCATTCCCATTGTTGGGATGGGAGGTATCGGCAAGACTACTCTGGCTATGAATGTTTATAGTGATTCATTTGTCACGTATCACTTTTATATTTGTGCTTGGATAACCATTTCTCAACAATATCGTATTAGGGAAATTCTTCTTAGCCTTCTAGAGGACCTCGGTGTTCTTACTAATAAGTTGTGCAAAGAGAGTGATGAAAAACTAAAAGAACTTGTATACAAAAGTGTGAAGGGCAGGAGATACCTAATTGTAGTAGATGATGTGTGGAGTACTAATGCTTGGAATGACATAAAAATGTTATTTCCAGATGAAAATAATGGTAGTCGAATCCTATTGACGACCAGAATAAAAGATGTAGCTGATTATGTCAGCTCAACTATAATTAATCACCGGATGCGTTTTCTAAATGAGGAAGAAAGTTGGAATTTATTTTGTCAAAAGGCCTTTGGAGGACCAAATTGCCCCCCTGAGTTGGTGGATGTCGGAAGGAATATAGCAAAAAATTGTCAGGGACTTCCGTTATTAATTGTGGTGATTGCCGGACTCCTTGCAAAAGACAATAAGCCACTAGATTACTGGGAGTATGTTGCCGCAAATTTAAGCTCAATAATAGCAGAAAAAGATGACCACTGCACAGAGATATTAACCTTAAGTTACAATAACTTGCCTCCTCATTTGAAACCATGTTTTCTTTATATGGGAGCTTTCCCAGAAAACTATGAGATTCCTGCCTCTAGACTCATCAAATTATGGGTTGCTGAGGGATTTGTGAATCCAGGATCTGGCCAAATTGGAAATGTAAACGTGGATGAGATTGCAAAGAACTATCTGACGGATCTTATAGGTAGAAATCTTATTTTGGTTGGTCAAATCGGATCTATTGATGGAAGAATAAAAACCTGCAGAATGCATGATCTTTTGAAAGAGTTATGCGTGAGAATGGCTCATGAGGAGAATTTTCTACTTGTCAAGAGCAGGTATCTGCGTTTCCTTCCAGAAGAGGCAAGTTTCAAGCGCCGTCTGAGTATTCACGATGATGCTTCATATAGTGGCAGGGAGGATGATATTACAATGCAATCAATGTATCATGTTCGTTCTTTTATATATAATGGTTGGGATGATACTAGATTACATTCTTATTATTATTTTGGTTTTCAATTGTTGAGGGTATTGGATATGGTTGGAGTAGAGCTCAGCGGGTTCCCTGAGGAAATACTGCTCCTATTTAACTTGAGGTACATAGCTATTGCCTGTCATGCTGTGATTCCAGCTTCTATTACTGGACTTTGGTATCTACAGACTTTAATTGTTGAAGACCCAACGGGAATTGCAAGTGAACTACCCATTGAAATTTGGAACATGCGACATTTGAGGCATCTCAAATTCTCTCGAGTTTTCGTGCCTGCTCCCCCAACAGCTAGAAGTCTTTTCCTTCTACGAGATCTAGACACGCTGTCAATGTTAGACAATTTGGATTATGACATCAGTCAGCGAATGCCAAATATAAAAAAATTTGGAATTCATTATAATTCCAAGTCATCTCACTTTCTCAACAGTATTTTCCAACTGAAAAAACTTGAAACACTGAAGATTCTCTTTGACGAGCCAGCAAATTATATTTTCATTGACATCCTTCGGCAAAATTCTCCTTTCATTAGCATCTTTGGGCCATCAAGTCTCAAAAAGATAACTTTGGAGCGAGGTAGAATTGACTGGAAATACATGAGAATTTTCGGTTCCTTGCCCAACCTCGAAGTGCTGAAATTGCGGGAGTATGCCTTCCAGGGCAGAGAGTGGATACCAAATGAAGGGGAATTTCTCACACTAAAATTCCTGCTAATATGGGAGACAGATTTGGTGCACTTGAGAGCCAACAGTACCCATCTTCCATGTCTAGAGCACCTAATCCTTAGAAATTGCTCGAAGTTGGTAGAGATCCCTTCTGATATTGGAGATATACTGACGCTTCAAATAATTGAAATAGATTGCTCCAGTCCATCTGCTGCGGATTCGGCAAAGAAAATACTAGATGACCAACAAAGCCTGGGAAATGATGGCCTTAAAGTTTTCATCCATCCAACAAAAACGAAAGTCTATCCACTGAAATTTGGGGTAAACTAATTGTTCATACTATATTTGTATGTTACTTTATTAATTTTTAGATATTAATTAACTTCCAACAGATCCAGCAAGATGAATCAGGTCGCTTCTATCGAAGAAAAACCAAACTCGATGAGTTCAAGGTACATCATTTCCTCAACTTATATTTGTATGTTACTTTCTTGATTAGATTTTAGATACACGAAGGCAAATATTCGTACCAATGCTTGGAAAAACTTATCATCCAAGACAACTTCTGATTCATCTAAATTCATATCGCTGATCCATCGTTTAATATTTGACGTTGATTAGCCGCATTCTAGTTAATAGTTGAAACTATCATCTCATTCACAAGTCTCAATTGGGCAACCACTCACCAAGGATTGTGTATTGTCAGGCTAAAGCAAAATCTGGAAGCAGCTCCAATTCATAGGAATTGTTTCATGAATGGATTGACATTCTGCAATGCATGAACATTGAGAGGATCTCAGTAATCAAGTCAAGCTTCTTCCAACACCATGAATGCCTTTTGAGTTTGATCACTTGTACAATTGCTTGTTAGCTATTTGATATTATTGAGAATTTATTTTATTTTGGGTTTTTGGTTTTGGATTGTACTATGTTATCCCGATTGTTTTGTACGATATTATTGATTTCACTCGTTTCTACATTATTTTACCTTTGTGAAACAATTAGTTCAGCATTTGATGTGTTGTACTAAAGTTCCAAGGTTTCTGATTTTCTGTATGTATACTTATCTTTATATTGAGTAATAAAACTCCTTTCACTGTTTCACTCAACAAAATGTGTGCACTTTCTTATCATCCTGCGGCGATTCGTTTAAGACATTAAAATGTGAATCATGTCCTAAGTATATAAACTGTTATTTCATGGCTGTGATTTTGCTCTACTCGTCTCATGATTCTTGTGTTATGAATACAATAATGTTCACCACTAATTTTAGTACTTATGATGTAGAGTATGATAATGCCACACCATACTTTATATTTTGATAAATTTTATCTACGACACATGACTCATTATTGAGATGTATTCTCAAGAGCCGCCATTAAAGCTCTGATACCATGTAAATTTGGGAAAATGATGAAATGTAAAACACTGAATTAGGAAATGAACAGAAATGATTGAAGAGAAATTCTCATTCTATATTCATCAACTTACTGAAAATTGAATTATACACAGGAGGCAGCTTACGTTATATACACATAGAGGAGACAAAAGGAATATTCCAACCTAACCAACTATATACATGCAGCAAAAGAAAAAATTACAAATCACATTATTCTGTTATAATTGCAGTAGATAGCTAGTCTTGTGTATCAGAAATTGTCTTTTGAATATCAGGACCTAGATGGGCAGCTGCTGGTGAAAATGGGCCACATGACAGATTTGTTACTGATGCTGTGTATCTGTTGGGCTTGATGGATTTCTTATTCTGCAAGAGTCCTCCGCAAGATGGAGAATAGATGTTAACTATTCCCATCTTGGACATATGAGCAAAGAGAAGAGAGAAAGGTAAAGCTTTGGTAAGCAAGTCTGCAAGTTGAAATTGTGTTCTAACATGTTTAGTGATGATAGAGCCTTCTTCAATTTTATCTCGTACAAGATGACAGTCCAATTCAATGTGTTTTGTGCGTTCATGAAACACCGGGTTGGCTGCAATATGTAAGGCAGCTTGGTTGTCGCAATGTAACACAACTGGTTGAGTATGAGGAATCTGGAGATCAAGAAGAAGATATTTTAACCAAGTGATCTCACAACAAGTGTTAGCCATGGCTCTGTACTCGGCTTGTGCAGATGATCGAGATACAATGGTCTATTTCTTTTAGCGCCATGAGATTAAGGATTGTCCTAGGAGAATGCAATAACCTGTCACTGATCTTCTAGAGTCAGGACATGAGGCCCAACTAGAATCACAGAAGGCTTGTAAAGTCAGTGAAGATGAAGAGGGAAATAAAATCCCTTAGCCAAGAGCATTCTTCAAATAGCGCAAAATGTTGTTCGCAGCTTGAAGATGTGGAAGCCTTGGTAAATCCATGAATTGACTCAAGTTGTGGACTACATAATTCAAGTCCCGTCTGGTGATAGTAAGATAGAGCAAACGCCCTACCAACCTACGATACATAGAAGGATCTGTAAGAGACTCCCCTGTGGTTTTGCTCAGATTCAAATTAGGGTCCATTGGAAGCTTCAAAGGCTTAACACCAAGGGCACCCGAGTTAGCTAGGATGTCAAGAGCATATTTTCTTTGACAACTATGTATTCCCTGATTTGATCGAGCCACTTCTATGCCAAAAAAATATTTAAGAGCACCAAGTGTTTTAATTTGAAACTGATCACTTAGAAAGGCTTGTAAAGCATGAATAGAGTCCATAGAAGTACTTGCCACGATAATGTCATCTACATAAACTAAGAGAGTAGTGAATGTAGATTCTTTAATTTGAGTGAAGAGGCTGTAATCTGCCTTTGATTGGACAAAACCAAACTGAATCAATAGACTGGAAAATTTTGCATACCATTGTCTCGAAGCTTGTTTCAAGCCATAAAGACTTTTATTCAACCTGCAAACTTGTTTTTGTTCTCCTTTAGCATAGCATGGTGGTCTCTTCATATACACTTCCTCATCTAAATCGCCATGGAGAAAGGCATTGTTAACATCGAATTGATACAAGTGCCACCCCTTAATGGCTGCAATGGCTAAAAGAGATCTAATGGTAACCAACTTAGCTACGGGGGAAAATGTTTCATGATAATCTATTCCTTCTTGTTGTGTAAATCCCTTAGCTACCAACCTCGCTTTATATCTCTCGACACTACCATCAGCATGATATTTGATTTTGTAAACCCACCTACAACCCACTGCCTCCTTGCCAGGCGGTAAATCAGTGAGTGTCCAAGTGTTATTGATTTCAAGAGCCATCAACTCATTATCCATAGCTTTAACCCAATGGGGACTCCTTACAGCTTCACTGTAGCTAACAGGTTCAACATGAGTAGAAATAGATGAAGTAAACGCTATATAACTAGGTGACAATCTATGATATGAAAGTGTATGTGAAAGTGGAAAGATAGTACCTGAAGTTTGTCCCTTGACCCTTGACAGTGAAGGAGAAGAAGTGATGGAAGTGGCTCGTACAGGTTCTGTAGAAACAGCTTGCTTGCAATGAAAATCTTGTAAATATTGAGGAGCATTTCTAGTCCTACATGATCTGCGAAGAGATGGTTCAACAAGCCTAATAGGTGAAGATTCTGTTTGGGGAGAAGATGTAGGACTAGAGTGAGAAATGGGAGAATCGGAAGAGTGAGGTGCAGGGGAATCGGTTGAGTGAATTATGGGAGATTGAGTGGACGTAATAGAAGTAGGTGGAGGAAGAGAAAATGAAGAATTGTCTGGTATAGGATTTGTGATAACATGTTGATTAGGGAAAGATTGATGTGAAGGAATAGGTGTAGAAGACTTAAGAGGGAACACCGTTTCATGAAAAATGACATTGCGAGAGATAAAGATGGTGTGAGATTGTAAATCAAGTAACTTGTAACCTTTGACGCTGAAAGGATAACCAATAAACATGGAAGGTTTGCTCCTAGGATCGAATTTCTTGCAGCCTTGTGAGAGAGTAGAAGCAAAAGTTAAACAACCAAACACTTTCATGTGGTTGTATTGAGGCTTGACGCCAAACAAAATTTCAAAAGGGCTCTTGTTGTGTAATAATGGAGTAGGAGTACGATTTATGATGTAAGTAGCTGTGAGGATACATTTTGACCAAAATTTGACAGGAACACCAGATTGGAACAATAAGGCTCGTGCTACATTAAGCAAATGCTGATTTTTTCTTTCAGCAACTCCATTTTATTGTGGGGTTTCGACACACGTTTGTTGATGAATGATTCCCTTTTGGGAGTAAAAATCATTAAGGTGAAACTCTGTTCCATTGTCACTCCGAAGTATTTTTATTCTAGTTCCAAACTGATTTTCAACTAGGTTAGTAAAGGACACAAGGCATTTCTTAGTGTCTGATTTGTGTTTGAGCATGTATACCCATGTACTACATGACAAGTCATCAATGATGGATAAGAAATATGAAGAACCATCATGTAAAGTGACAGAATAGGGCCCCCACAAGTCACAGTGAATTAATTCAAAAAATTAACTGATTTGTGCTCACTTAAGGAAAAAGAAGATTTGTGTTGCTTAGCCAAATAACAGATAGAGCAAGGAAGAGAAGTTTGTGACTTCAAGTTTAAAGATGCAGTTACAAACGGGTCTTTTATAAGCCTGAGTCTAGCATCTGAAATATGGCCTAAGCGATAGTGCCATAACTCATGCTCAATGAGTTTGTTGATTACAAAAACTGAAGAAAAATTTAAATTGCAAGAAAGTCGAGAGTCGGCATGTTGGAGAGCTTTAGGGGAGATCTCGTCAAGCTGTAGGTAGTACAAGCCACGCTCCATCCTACCCTTCCCAATCGTTGTCCAGGATGCAAGGTCCTGAATAAAACAACAATCAGAGAAAAATATCAAACAACAATGAAGTTGGTCAGCAAGTTTCTTGGCTGAAAGCAAATTGAAACTAAATGAGGGTAGGCATAAAACATCTCGTAAGGTGATGGAGTCAGTGACTTGAACATCACCTATATGGGTAAGTGAAGAAATGTCACCATTAGGTAATTTAACATTATATGATACCTTGGTGGGAGGAGTGGTGTAGTGAGAAAGATTACAGATCATATGATCTGTAGCCCCAGTATCTATTATCCAAATGAGGGAGTGTGCAATTGAAGAATGAAAATTAAGAACAACTAAACAATGGTGAATACCAGACATAGGAGTGGATTGAGAGTTAGAAGAACTAGTAGGAAGTAGAGATATCTGGTTAGCCACATGTGAAGTTGTAGGAGAGTCCTTGTGTTTGAGCAAAGCCATGAGGTCATTGCATTGATCTTTGGTCAAAGAAACGCTATCACAATTATCCTCCCCATTAATGTCCATGCTCTGAACAGAAACATGATTAGCAAATTTTCCAGTTCCCTTAGACTTGTTGTGCATTTTATGACTCACTGGGTAGCCATGTAACTTATAACATCTGTCTACCATGTGTCCTGTCATATGGCAATGGCTGCAAATTGGTGCCTCTGCATTACCATCTTTAAAACACTTTTCAAAATGATGACCAGGGATTTTACAGAATTTGCAGTATGGCCTTTCCTTATTGGGACCAGTATTTTGTGGGTTTTGAGGTTTAAAATTGGGATTGGTGTTTCTGGTGTAAAAGGCAACAGAGTCAGAACCAGCAGGAATAGAGGTAATTTGTCGTTGCCTTTCCTGCTGTTGAACATACGAGAAGACTTTATTGACATGGGGAAGTGGCTCAATAAGCATGATTTGGTCTCGGGTATGTTCATATACATCATTTAGGCCCATCAAAAATTGAAAAGTACAATCTCTATGATATCTATCAACCAATACCTTAAACTTTCCACAATGACAATCTAGAATTGGGTCATAAACAGCAAGTTCATCCTAAATACCTTTTAGTTTACCATAATAAACACTAACAGAATCTCCCTCTTGAGACAAATTTACCAGTGCTCTTTTGAGTTGGTAAATACGTGGAGCATTCTGCAGAGAAAAGTGTTCAGCCAATTCATTCCAAATCTTAGAGGCATCATCCATGAAGGCAACACTAGACCGAAGTTCTGGACTGATAGTATTATGAATCCAAGAAATTACCATGTCATTGCACCTTGCCCAAGCTTCAAACAGAT